GTTGACCCGGTGCATCTGGGACTGTGCGGCTCTTAAGTCAGCGGCGGCGCGCTCCAGCTGTGCTTGCATCCTAGTCATCTCGTCGATTTTAGTTAGATCCTTGCGTTCCTGTTCAAGCTCGAACTACTCGGCCCAGTAGAGACCTTTTTCGTCGCCAAAGTTTTATCGTGCTCGATATTCGCATCATTCCGATGAGTCCGGGATCGATCTCTCCGTGCAGGTGCGCAGCGATTCTCTGAGGTGCGTGTCCTGCGCGGGTTGTTGTCTGTGCTAATCCCTCCTGAAGCAGCTAGTCCTGTGCTCGTTGTTCTATTGGCTCTCTCCGGATTTGGATCTGCTGTCCTCAGCGGTGGCGGCGGTGGTAGGTCACCTCGGGCTCATCGTGCGGTGCACGGTATTGAGAAGTTGAGGGTTTACGGTCTAAACCGCCCAAGTGACTACAGCAGTCGGCTAGCCCTGGTGGTATTCTTGTGGGCTTTGCTCGCCGTTGTAAGAGCCTTCAGCTTGTCTTCATGATCTGCTGACCTCTCGAGGAGTATCTTCATCATGTCCTTAAGCTCATTCAAGGCTACCGGATGCGCTGTGGCATCGTCGCCCGCCTGGCTGCTCCTAGCGGCTGTGTTGTTTGGCTATGACGCTGAGGAACCGTTGCTGCTGTTGCCACTGCTATTGTCGCTGCTGGTCATCTTCTCTTGTCTAGTGTGCGAAGTGATTCCTTAGTGTGAGAAAGTCTCTGTTCCCTTTAGACGGCGCCACACTGTGGGAGTCGGATCCACGCGGTTAAATTTGTCAAGGGTCTTTAGGGATTAGAGATTTCTATATCGCGGACTCACTTAGAACAAAGACTGAGAATAAGAATTCTTTATTGCTGTTTCTGTTAAGCTATGATTACAAGAGATTTTCTCTGCCAGAAGTTCTGAACCCCTTTTTGGGTGAGTACAATGAGATATATATAGTGTTAAGTAAATGTGCCAACTAATAAAATGGGTCTGACCCATTAAGCAATATATTTAATTTAGGCCCATAATTTTAGTAAGCCCATTTTGATTATGGGTTGAATGTCATTTTGGGCCTAGATTCAGATTGGGCCCTTGCAGACTCGATCTGATTTCGTCAGGATGATGCAAAGTTGATCTCGTCGTTATATCGATCTCATAGGGGAGAAATCCAACCCCTACAAACACCATGCGTTGGTACATCAAGGTATACGTGTGACTTATTTTGTGTGTTATGTCTGTCTGGTATAACTGGGAAAACGTAGGTATAACCGTTTGATTAGTTTTGTGTGTTCTGTCTGTCTAGTATAACTAGGTATAACTGTTTGATTATTTTTGTGTGTTCTGTCTGTCTAGTATAACTATGTATAACTGTTTGATTAATTTTGTGTGTTCTGTCTGTTTTGTATAACTAGAAATAACTAGGTATAACTGTTTGTTTTTTTTTATCACAGATCACGGAGAGCAAGAGCATTTTGATAGGTATGAAGATAATGAGCAAAATAATGAGCAAGAACATTTTGTGAATGGATCTAGCCTTGTATTCA